ACTTCTACTACTACTACTACTACCTCTACTACTACTACTACTACTACTACTATTACTACTACTACTACTACTACTCCTCCTACTCCTCCTCCTCCTACTACTACTACTACTACTACTACTACGTACTAATACTACAGCAAGAACAACAAGTAACAAGAAGTACCACTCTACTACAACTCCCACTCCCACTCCCAATCCATGAAAGAACGCTGAGTAAGAAAAAACGAAGGACAAGCAAGCGACACAGAACCATGGATTGGACTGATTATAGAGTCTTAGACTTCAGCAGTTCACGTTTACGAGCCAATGTACCGTGCCCAAATGTCTGATAGCAATGCCGACCAAGCATCCGCCACTTCTCTCTTCGTTTACGGCTGTCTGCGAAAGAACTCGACTTCCTGCGCTAGGCCGTGCAGCAGAAGAAGCCGTTACAAAGAATCCCAGCATTTAACCTTCAGTGATTCTGGCTTAACGAAGTCCCTGAGGAGAGAAACATGTAATGCGGAGTTCGCACTGGCAAGCGCGAGTCTGCAAAGCTCTGTTTCCACACCGCACATGCAAAATGCTTTGAAACATGTCTAAGTGGTCTAAGCGGGCCGTGGCTATGAGCAGGCATGCCAAATCTCATGCGCACCGTCTCTCGTGCTTGGGCCGGCTGATCGGCGATTCGGCAGCTGTTGCACTCAGGGAGATCTCACACTCCTTGTTTTTGTTTTGCTGAATCGCCTTCGCAAGCTTCACTTTCTGGCACCAATTGCTGGATGGTCTCCTCCAGCTTCTGTAGCCGTTGCAGCTTCTTGGCTGTGTCGTCGGCCGTCTTGGCAACCTTTCGCCTTGCTCGTTCGGCCTGCTTCTTCTCCTTCAACTGCACGTTGGCGTCACTCTGAGTGAGGCCGATCATACCTGTCCGCAGGAACTCCTTCATCACCTCACGGTCCGCGGCGAGCTTGGTGAGCACGTCGCTCATATTCTGCATGCCATCGATCCATCGAACATGCGCACCGGGCTGGCGCACTGTCTCTCACGGCAAGGCTCCTTCAATCGCCGTTCTCTTGTTAGAGCTCGTGCTTGAGGCGTCCTTCTGTAAGTAGTCGAAGACGGACCTGGCATCAGCGGCGTACACGCTCTGCCGCTGCTGGATCACCTCCGGCCAGTTTCTCAAATCCACCTTGCCGGTGAGGGCCCCCTCCAAGACCACCATGATCCAGTCCCCGGCCTCCACGGCCTCCGCTAAATGCGAAGCCTCGGCTGCCAACGTTGAACGGCAGACGCGCTGCGTCTGCCCCGAGTGAAATGCCAGTATATTGGCTCTCACCTCTTTTCCCTTTCCAGGATGCCCTTGTTGGCCAGCAGGATAGAGTACCCACCAACACTGCGGTAGCACATGGTCTCGTCATGCTCGGGTGTCCGTTGGCGTGGCCTGGTCAGAAGGTGCACCACCACGCTGTCCGTCAAGGAAGCATCGGACCAAATCCGCATATGAAAGTCGGCTCCTCGGGCATCTTGTGTGGCGCGTTTTGCCACGCCATTCTGGCACGCCAAATCGCAGCGTAGCTGTCGGGCCAGCCAACCTAGTTCTCCGGCCGAGCTCTGGTACAGCTCCATTTCCTCCGGCTCCAGGGGCTCCTCCAGGTACTGCCGGCGGTCGCGCTTCTCGGGCACCGCCTTCAGCGACAGGGCGTAGTTGCGCATCATCACAGCGATGTGGCCGCTGTCGCGCTGCATCGCGCTGCTTCATTTCCCTGCCCCGGAAGATAAAGTCCCGGTAGTGGTTGGTGGCAAACTCCAGGGCGGCAGCGGACTTCTTGAAGGCGCGCTCCAAGTAGTCAGGGTAGGTGCTCTTTCAGCGCCAGCCAAAACATTTGAGCCGCCTCCGCAAAACCAGAGACAGCCTTACGCGCCTGTAGCAGCTGGCCCCTGAACTCCAGGTAGACTCCAGGTAGACCTCCTCTTGGAGGCTCGAGGTAAATCTGCCTCGTCATGCTCTTGCCACTGAAGTAGGCATTCTTGATGTCCTTGGCAAACAGCAGGAAACGCTTATTGGCACAGATGGTGAGGCAAATGCTCTTGGCGATGGCGCTGGGCATCTCGTCGAAACTGTCCCAAAGTTCGGTCCTTAAACCCTTGGACCACCAAACGACTCTTCGCGAGGAAGTCGGCGCCGTAAATGCTGTCATTCTTGTTCGTTCTCACCCAGCGCGTTGGGATGATGAGGTCGGCCTTGTTCTTGCCAATGTCCCGGCTTTTCTCCAAACTGAGCATATCACAAGCACCCTGGCTCAGCCAGGCCTTCCACTCCTTCTCAGCGGAACCTCCCGGCGCAGTGAAGAGGCGCCGCTGCTCGTGGTTGAGGTCGTCTAGACGGATCTCCTTCCGCCCTTTCATTGCTTGCCCCGTGGCTAGGCTAGGGCTTCATAGCGATCATGAAAGCGATTCCGCTGGCAACTGAAAAGGAAGTTGCTCTCGGAGACCGCCAGCACGTAGTAGTAGTCGCGGTTGCTCGTGTAGTGCTCGCGTGCCTTGTCCTTCAGGTAGTTCCGTGAGCTCACCGCAGCAAAAGCATCAAAACGCTCGGTCGCCATGCGGGCCGCTGCGTCGCTTGATCACTCTTTGTCGCTTTGCCTCCCGTTCGTTGGCCTCGGCCTCGGGACTCGGGATCGTCCACAATCGGACTAAGTTGCCGTCCCATCGCGGGCCTCGCCTGGTTCTCGCACCTTCCGGTTGAAAAACTCAGTGCCTCTCAGCCGAGGTGGTGTCGCTCTGTAGTGGCATCTCCTCATCAGGCTTGCCTTCCGCGTTGTCGTCCTGCAAATCGGACCAGTCCTGCCGATGCTGCCTCAGTAGCTGTCTATCGCCTGGCCTTTTTCCTGGAGCACTTCTCCAAGTACGTGTCAATGGCCTCAGTCGCCTTGATCACTGACACCTTCCCGATCTGCTGCAGGCAGGCGAAGACCTTCTTGTATCCATCGGTTGCCTTCAGAGACTCCGGTTCGGCAACCAGCTCCTGGCAGGCTCTCCAGGCCTCCCCGTGGAGCCCCTCGATCAACTTCGTGGCCAAACGGGTCTGCTTCTTCCGTAGGGAGCGCTTCTCCTTCTCCTCGTCGTCTCCGCTTCCTTCAAGGCTCTGGTAAGCGAAAAGAACGCCACTCCTATACTCCCGCATGAGGCCCGGCAGCACCCCCGTGTAGTGGGGGATCCCATCCTTGTCCACCACAATCTGGTCGTCACGCCAGAAGCCTCGAGAGGCTGCCTCGGACGCCATGGGGCACAGGGTAGCCGGCTCCGCTACCAGTGCAGAGTTCGCACTGGCAAGCGGGAGTCTGCGCTCTGTTTTCACACCGCACATGCAAAATACGCTTTGAAGTGTAAGTTCTGTGAAACATGTCTAAGTGGTCTAAGCGGGCCGTGGTTATATATGAGCAGGCATGCCAAATCTTATGCGCACCGTCTCTCGTGCTTGGGCCGGCGGATCGGTGAGTCGGCAGCTGTTGCACCCAGGGAGATCTCACATGTAACTTAAGTCGAGCAGAGGGGGGAGCCCCGCGTATCCGTTTACATTTCAGACGGGAGTGCTGGGGAATCGACACGTTGTCACACAACCCGAATATACAAAGCCCACTATACCTGGCAAACAACATGAATCTAGGTTGCCAGACGCTTGCCGGACTGTGACGCAAAATCTGCACGGAAACGGCTCTTCTAAGTGGCCAGAAAGAATTTATCGCAAGGACCCGAGGCTAGAAACCCGGCCGAGCCTCTTCTTGGTACGCCTCGGGCTGGCAGAGCCCAGGTCGAAAACCTGAATATCAGCACCGCCGAGCACGGTACTGGGGCGCAGGCATTCGCAAGCAGGATTGTACTACTCACAAAGAAACTTCTCTTTGATCCACGTGGCATCGTCCTCCAGTGACTCCTGCAGCAAAGTGCTTCTGTTGTCTGTGATCGTTTGCACTAGCTGTATAAGCTTCTGCAACGTCCAGAATCTCGAACAAGTCAAGCAGACTGTGACCGCGCATTCGGTCCCGCTGCACTGGATTGCTCTCCACACCCAAACGATCAAAAGACGATCGGGTCGTTCTGGAATGGCACGTGCAGGCAAGACGCATATTCACCAAAGGGAGCTTCGGCTTGTGTTGGAAAGTCGGCAGCCTCCTGGTTCGATCTCAGAAGCAAGCCACCAGAGGAAGTTCAAATCGTCACGTCAGTCTGGCTTCGAAGATTGTGCTCCTGGTGCCTCGCCGGCTTGATGCCTGCAACCACAGCCTGGAAATCAGATTTGCTCACACGAGGAAATTGAGCTTGAATCCACTTGCAATAGCTGGCATGTTAACAGCCCTTCCGAGGACTACCGGAAGATTTCGGAAGTAGCCCTTTGGTCCCCGCGCTCTCTATTAAGTGCACCTACAAAACATGCCATCACCGAGTGGATCGAGTTCCGAAGTCTGCCATGACGAGGAGCCCGCCACTGTCGCCTGCCCGCTGCAGTCGAGAGCTCCTGTGCAGAGCGAGCGCTGGGCCGCTCGTACGGCAAAGAAACAACGGCAGGCCGCCTCGGCTGCCCAAGAGATGCGGCGGAAGCGATGCTCGTCGCCCGTCTCCGGCACGTCTGGGTGGTAGATCTGGGCTCGAGGCTCGAAGTCTTCCCTGAAGCTTCGGGCTTTGACATGCCTTGGCCAACTGGCGAAAGGCCGGTCGTACATCGTCGTCCTCTGCATCGCTTCGGAGGCCGAGCACCTTGAGATCACGCGCTGGCACAGGATGCTTAATTCCTCTCTCGTGCTGTTGCCGGGCAACTGGCCTGAAAAGGATTGCTGCCATGGCCTCCAAAAGCAAAGGCCGTCGATACGCCCAGGAAGCAAGCCAGCCATGCAAACCTGGAGCCCATTGGAATCGGGTTCAGGGCTCGCTACACCAGGTCAGCGTAGTTAATTCTGGTACTTCTGCAGAAGCGACTTCGACATGTTACACTGGCATATATTGGCATCTCGTCTGACCTTGCGAAATCCATCAATCAATGCCTCGTGCCCAAAGCCGTTGCAAATAACGGCAACTTTGGAAAGTGCTTGCTGCCCCTGTGAGCATCATGCCTTCACGGATTGAGCCGTCGTCCACTTATCTACACTCACTCTCACTCTACATTCTAGATAAATGTTGGGATGCTTGTGTCCATAGTGTTGCCCAGTATTGGGGGAAACTGAAATTTGTAAGGCCGCGCTTTCGGATCACTTGCCATCGCCTGAAACTAGACCCCCGTGACACAATCTGCCAAGACTCTCCAACAAACCTGCTAGACAAGCAGTCCATGACTTTCAGAGGCTACTCCATTCAAGGGGGGCAGGGTTGGACCTAGTATTGATTCGATCGCACAGCGCTGTGCCTGAAAACTGTACGCATCTGAGACTGCATGGCATCGATCTTTGCCGCCGAGTCGACGTGCGCTATCAATGATAAACGAATAAGATACAAACAAACAACTGACTGAGCCCGCCTCAATTTGTGGCGACGTGATCCCCAGCGCAGCAGCTGGCGCATGGCCCATTCCACATGTAGCAACCGCTGCGTTGTGCTGCGGATGTGATGTTGATTGACTTCACAGAGGTGTGGGAAGACGGTAGCTTGGCGTTTTGACGGCATGCTGAGTGAATCTGAGAAGACGTACTCACAAATTCACAAACTTGCAGTTTGTGTCAAAACGTGTTTGTCGCATGTCTGCTGAGCTATTTGCACTTCAGTGCCTGCCCAATGGTTTTGGATGTCTCGCGTGTCCCTTGAGCATTTCAGTCGATGACCGCTGTGATTGTAGGGGCGCTCTTGAGAAGGCATCAACTGGACTCGGCTTAGCGACTCTCAGTCTGCGGCGCCACCTTCTGATGCGCCGCCGATCAGCTTCGGAGTGTGAATTTCCTTCACCAATCAACTCTCCACTTATTGGGAAAAGTCACACCGACCTAGCACTGATGCGTTGCTTCTCAAGTCGTGCTCTAAAAGATCGCGCCCATCTTATTATCATGCTGCGCACAATGCACCTGTCGGTACACACTCTCTGTTCCCGGGGCCAGCCTTGAAGTTAGTGCATGTAAAGCTCTTGCCGCATACGATTGCTTGGTCGGGCTGCCAAATTGCTCTTGGACTCCTTTCATGGCGTGGTGCCGTCTCGATGCACTGCTTTCCTGGAAGTCATTCATGAGCAGGAACTCCCGGAAAAGCATGCAAACTCCGGACCTGGACCCGAAAAGGCGAGCGACGACGACTGTCCGCTACCTCTGCCCCATGCACCGGGACTAGGGGCCATGCTGCATTCTAAAGACGGCTTGGTTCGCCACCTTGCCACTTCACTGCTGTTTACGGTGTCTGGCTCCCTCGTCTTAGCGGTGATCAGCATATTTTCACATGAACAGCACACAAGCGTATAACTTCTTACAACTCACAGGTGCTCTGTCTTCTTGTGCTGCATAAACTGCACTTTCAATTTTGCTGAAAGCGAGCTGCCTTTCGCATGAGGAACCTGGAAGAAACAAACAGGCCGCTAGATGGGTCATGTTCGACAGCTTCTGAGAGCTTGCCGTTCTGAGGTCGATGATTCTGTTATCAAGCCGCACGTCCTGCGAGCAAAGCAGTCTCGTCCAGGAAACAAATCCAATAACATCAAACATGTTCCTTTTCCCGGATCCTCTAGCCCTACACCTCCTTTCGTTGCAGAAGATGTCGTTTAATGGCTTAACATATACATGTTGAATTGTGAAGCGTTTGCAAGCCAAGACCCAGCCCTTGAACCTCGAATTTGGGAGCTCCCGTCATATCTTGAAGAAGCAGGCACGCGCCGTACTCCACTGTTTCGGGGTGGAAAAATGCACTCGACGATTTGCCAACATCTGAGAGAGCTGATCGAACATGTGGGGCGCATGGCAGGCAACAGGGCCCTCGCAAGAGGCTTGGCATATTTATAGGATGACAAATCCTGGTACAGCCTTCTACCAAGAATCAAGACGTCCTGTCCCACCGACGGGAGCCTCAGACAGCAAGACAACAAGCACACAACGAGTTCATAACTGCAGAGGTTGAGCTGCGAAGTCACATATCTCGTCGGCATTTTGTTGAACACGATGGCTAACCGTAAGGCCATGGGCCATGGGTCTCTGGCACAAGCACCACCTGAGCAATCCTTCACTCCTCGACGTCAAACTAACGACTTAAGATGCAGGCGAGGGGTCCTTCTCCAGCTCTGCCTCGTGAGATCGCGTCGGGCGGTCACTCCGGTGATGGTCAAACAGAAAACAAGCGCGCCGAGCAGCAGCTGCAGCCACAGCGACAGTTTTCAAAATCAATGCTGCTTGCAAAACAAAGCAATGTACAAACCAGAACTACAACTGGGATAAGTTGATGCTACGGTAACGATTATGTAACCATGTGCAACAGTGCTGGGACTGGATGTCACCACACAATGGCTGCTCGCATCTTGCAGCTCGACGGCGCAAGTTACTCTTTTGCCCAGCCGCCCAACCACCACCACCACCGCCACCACCACCACCACCACAACAACAACAACGACAAACGACAACAACAACAACAACGTGCTGCCAACGACAACAACAACAACAACACCAGCAGCAACAACAACAACAGCA